GAATCGTTTCGTATCTTTCGAATAAGAAATCCATCGAACAACTGTATTAAATTGAATATATTGACGAACATTATTTTGTTTTGCATATCCACGAATATAATCATACATAACAGTTCGAGGTGGAAATGATGTAAATGATTGACCAAAATGTTTGTCAAATGAATAATCAACAAATTCTGTACATTCTTTCGGTAGATTTATCCATAAATTTGGATACATACTACTATGAATAGGTTCCGAATATTCATCGAATCCTGTTCTCCATGTAGAATTCCATTGACCACCAAGATCATTTTGTTTTTCGAAACATACTATTTCAGGTATTTGAATGCCACGTTGTCGAGCGGATTCAAATGCATGCAATTGACTAAGACCAGAAGGACCTGCTCCACAAATTACAACTCGAGTTGATGAATACATATCAATCAACGAAGCAAAAACAACATCTGAAGTATCAAAGCGAAAAATGAGATCCCAATATACGAAGAAGAATTGAAAAGCAGTATCAGAAGAAAGGATTGAAATAGTTAATGGCGCACTCCTTTCTCAGGTCTCTCAAGTAGTAGCGTAACCAGATGAAGACTAGAGGAGCTCATTCCTTCTCTTTCTTCCTAAAAACCATCTAGATCCATGTCCTACTCGGTAGTGATTCACACAACAATGTTTCACAACATTTCAAAATTTTCCAAACTGTTATTCTTTCTAGATTTTAAAATGTAGGATTTAGAAATGAAAATAAAAATAAAACTTCTGAGTGTTTGTATGGATGATGTCGATGTTTGAATCCACAAAGTAATCGCAGTTTTTCACTGAGAAGAACGCATAAGATGGCAAGGGAATTTTTTACGGTAAAAGTGTATTGAAAAGTTCGAAAGTTCACTTAAAACTAAAAAACGTCCTTGGGGATATCAAAAAATTCAAACGAAATTAATAAGGTCGCTTCCCTTGAAGATTCATGAAAAAGATTCTCAGTTCGCATTAACTACTTGTGAACAAGTAATCATGTGATTCATTTAAGAGAAATATTGATTCACGAGTTTTTTATAACCATAACTAAAACCTGGCCATTTTCGTTAAAAAAAAACTGTTCTGAACATGATCACTCCTAAGGAAAAGAAAGAAAATTATTTTTAAAAAAATTATAAGAATACGACAGGGAAACGAGCAGGTTCTTCGAAACAACTAGACGCAAATTAAATCCTTAAGTGTTCGATTCACTCAAGGTTCGAATATGAAAAATTGTACTCGTTCAGTATTCTAATCTTGGCCTCTTTTACAGATATGTTTAGACTGTCAAGAGAAGAAATCATAATTTCATGCTTCTTTAAAATATTTCAAGCTACTTTGTCGACATTTTTAAAGATAAGTTCAACCAGCTTTTAGTTAATTCTACTCAAATTGAATCACTTTTTCGTCTTAATTGGGGTAGAAGCAGCTAAAAAATGGGGAAAATAATTCTTGAATGTCGAGAAAGTGATTGAACTGGAACGTTTTCGCCTTTCTTAGCTTCTTCTACACATATTTTTCTCGTTACATTACTATTATTGTTAATAGCTCAATGAAAAGCTCTAAACTTCCCAAGATCGATAGATCTTGTCTAACGAAATAGAATTTATATGATGCTGAAGTTTCTATAACTTTAAACACAGACATCTGACACTATTTAGAATAGTGTTTTCTAATTTTTTTACGTCACTCGATCTCAGAAAATCTGCCAGAAACTACGATAGTGATATTTCTTCAGAAGCAAAACAGTACGCACTACTGATGAATCATCCCAAACAACCTATAATACCACTCTAAAAAATCCAGCTCAATCAAGCGTCATGTATTGAAGAATGAAGGCTATTCAGCATTTTTTTCGTCAAAAGCCAGTTTGGAGAAGAATACGCAATATTTTGATACACGGTTTTAGTATACATTAGGGTTTTTATTTTTTCAAAAAACGCGATACATTATCAAGAGAACTCGATACACTATAATATAACGACAAAAGGACTTTTCTGCTGAAGCTTCTCGAAATAATAACTATGAATTTGGACAAAGAAAGACAGAAGATAGTAGAGATAAACACACATACTCGTTGATCAGTGATTCTAACGCCAGAGGATAGGCAAATAGGTGAGAATATAAGAGAAAATGACAAGGGTGGAATTTGTTTGATAAGGAAAGAGAACAAGTAATTTTGAGGTGCTCTAAAAAGACTGAAAGAAAAAATGTCGAAAACTTCAAGTAACAAGACGTTATTTTTGACATAATACTAACGTTGAAATATGATCAAACTCAAGTAAAAAGATAAGAATGGATGGAAAAAGGCAGAAAGGAAAAATATCGAAAATAAAAATGTCGAAAACAAGAATATGAGGTGAAAATGAACATGTAAGATTGGAGGTGGGGGTAAGAAAGATTTCTACTCCAACATACTCTCTTTTTCAGCATTTCTATTCATCTACATTTGTAATATTTTTGCTTTCGATATTTTTATTTTCGACATTTTTCCCTTTCGATATTTTTCCTTTCTGCCTTTTTCCACCATACCAAAGGTAAAAGAAACATGTAAAGCATTATGTTATTTCTCTGTTTAGCAACTATAACTGACAAACCATTACTAGAGACATTAATGGAGACGATTAATGTTACGTTAGCTTACATAAACAAGATTGTCCTTCGAATGGCTGTTTTGTCAAAAACTCATAAAAGTTAAAAGCAATTTCGCTTCATTCCGCACTTGTTTCTTTTAATGATCTGCATGGCTTTGCATCTATATTTAGTCGACCTTTTTGTTCAAAATGAATCAAGCAAGTTGACCATATAAATTTGCCAAATATAACTTTAATCAATGTCAAACAAAACACTCTATAGTCTTTGCATTGGAACTAATTTATGGTCACTCTCGTCGGATTCTTCCACAATCGAGAAAAACAGATGTTAGACTTTCTAAAGGGTTTTTTCATAATTGATCAACTTATAATGTTGAAACAAAATGAATAGCATTGTTTGTGACGTGATTAATATACAAAGTAGTGCTGAGAGTCTGCTGTAGATGCCATGAATATGTAAAATGGATTTATTTGTCAGTCAATTCCACGATTATAATAATAAGATAAACTTTTCCAGCGTTTTGTCAATACCATATTATATTGAATAGAACTTCGTAAATGATGAAGAAAAGAGATTGATTTACCAGAAAGATAAACACATTTAGAAAGTAGACATTCTGGCCTATTAAAGTATGCAATAAAAAAAGAATCGAGAATATACGAAAAGCATCAGATTCCTGAGATGGGAGTCCCTAATGGAAACAGTGACCAATACAAGATGATAGTAAATTCCTTTGGTTTTTTAAAAACAAAGATTAACACAATTGCATACGATTATTTCTTTGTCTTTTTGTTCAAGTGAGACCAACATTCTTACCGTTCACCTATAGTCTGTTAAAAAGTCCGTACGTATGACTGTTTGTTGAATAACTCAAGAACGCAAACAGCTAGAGATGTGCGGTTTTCATCAGTCGAAGGAGGTGGTATGGGAACACCTTTTTCTCCGATATTGTTTAAGACGAATTCATTTTAAAATCAATAATTTCCTTAAAACATTGGAAAATATGCGTGATAACGGTCTATTATTTCGATGAGATTTTGGTTTTAATATGTGATCTGGATAGAAGGACTTCATATCTATAACTAAAGATATAATTTAAATGATTATCTTCACATCTTCTAATATTAAGCAAATACAATTTTCTATTTGCTCCCTAGAAAAATACGAATTTCTCTTGAATTTTCTTACTTTTTTTTAAAAATTTCATCTCAACAACAGAATATTTTCGTACATTTTTTCGATGTTTTGTAAAAAGGGTTGACTTTAAAATGTCTTCGTCTTATACAATATCGGAGAAAAAGACGTCCCCGTATCACCTCCTTCGACTGATGAAAATCGTAGGTCTCTAGCTGTTTGTGTTCTTGAGTTATTCAACAAACAGTCACACGCACGGACTTTTTGGACGGACTATAGTACGAAAATTCTACAAAAATGTTTTCAGTAGTAACTATTTTGCTTTTCTAAAAGATAGGCTATCTCAAGCTTTATTATCACCAAGACTTTCAATAAAACTTCCTAATATTTCTCCTTCATCATTGGAAAAAATCTCAAGTTTTCGAAGTCTTGAATTTATCAAACCTGATGAGAAAGTCTTTGCTCTATACATAACCAATATTTCACTTGAATGAAGTAGAAATTAAAGTTAAGACAGATATAGAAATCGAGAAAATTGAAATAGCAAAATTAAATCAGCATTGAACATGTTTCTATTGATGCATTTCAGTGTTTCTGATAGGAATCTAAAACATGATATAAAGTGTAATCTGTAACATGTAGATCAAATGTATTATTACATCTTGTTATCATAGACAAAATATATCGAAGTCTCCATAGATAAAGTTTCAGAGAGTTTAAAGAAATGAAAAATAAAACAACGTTCATATCGTTTGAATACACATAGATACAATTTTATCTGACAGACCATGATCTACACATGGTTTAACCGTATTTTCTCAAGTGACAAATAGTTTTCAATATATTAGGAGAGGAACGTGTTGATTTTCCCTACCAGGATGTGTAGCTATAGGTCTTTCGCTCACACTAATACTCGAAAAGCAAGATCAATTATTTTTTTTATTCTTTCAAATATATATTTATGTTCTCCGAGTAACTGAGCCAAATGTTTAAGTCTAATTTATTATCGCGTAGTTATGATATAAAGAATCAAATGAATGAGAAGTAATCTAAAACTTTAAGTACTGGTTTGGTAGAGATCCTTTTACAGATTATTATTCATAAGAAATTTTCAAAGATGACGTTTTTCGCTAGAGATCGCTCTCATACTGCCATGCTTTATATGAAAAACATTCATAGTCAACTTAAATAAAATGACTTGGATTGGCAGAATTATATAAAAAATTACTCATAATTGATCTCTTGACTCATGGCGTTCTATTTAAATGACAAAATTTCGTAAATTTCTTATTCTATTCGTATTCGATGCTATTATATTCATTAATTTTTTATCGATATTACGTATTACAATAGGTATGAGTTTTATTCCTCCCGATGCTAAACATATAGTTGAAGCGCTTGGTGACATTTCAAAGGTTTAGTATATAGACAATTTACTCTTCTCTGACACAGTTGATTCTTGCTTTAGTTACCAAGAGATATGCAAATGGCTGTAACAAATAAACTTAATGAAAGTTTTCAACCAGTACCGAAACCTAATAGTGGTGATTGGTTGGCAAATCATAAAGAAAAAGGACAAACTATGAAATCATTTGAACGAACTATATCAAAAGCTATTCCTCATGCAACGTAAATCATATTTTAATATTTATCTCGTTTTATTAAGAGTATATGTGTTCTTCTACGTTATAGTTTTAAAATCATCTATATTCAGCCAATCGGTAGTTTTAACCATCCAAGGTAAAAATGAATTTCGTTCTTGATTCAATTAATAAAAAAAGAAATTCTAGAGCTGCACCACTTGATATAATTGTACAATTCGCTCGTGTATTTTTTTCTGGATGTGAAGTTGAATTATTACCGACGATTGATTTTTCGAAAGATATGAAATCAAGAAATAATTGTGGAACAATACAATATCGAACAGATGGCTTTTATAATTATTTATCTCAAACACGTCATAAGCGTAATTCAAGACGAGAACTTTTATGTGTTGCTGTAACTATGGCTGACATTTATCCTGATGAAGATTGGAATTTTGTTTATGGACAAGCAGACCTAATAAATGGTCTTGGTGTCTATTCATTTGCACGTCTTGATCCATTATATCTAGAATCATCAGAATCATTACTCACTACTCCATTAACTGATGAACATCGGATAATAATGCTCCGACGTTGTGTTAAAATTCTTCTACATGAACTAGGTCATTTATTTGGTTTAAAGCATTGTATCTATTATGTTTGTTTGATGAATGGTGCAAACCATGAAATTGAAATGGATCGACAGCCGTTATATCTATGTCCTGTTTGTTTACGTAAACTTTATTCGACATTTAATTTCAATGTTCGAGCTGTATATGAACAATTTGTCAAACTATGTGAAACATATGGACTTGAAGAAGAACGTATATGGTATCAAAAACGTCTAGATTGTATTTAAGACTAATAAATTCTTAAATGTAAATCTATTTCTAAATTGTTTCGAATTACAATGATAATAAACATGACAGATTTTTACTAAAAAATGCGTATCGAATTAAAAAGGCTTTTATTACTGTCTATATATTTCTATATGTGGTATTCTGTACTTGTCAGTGAACAAAAAAAAATATTCTAAATAAAACGCTTATGATCTATGAAGTCGTAAAGATCATACAGCGCGAACAACGGTTACCTAATAGAAAAACCATAAGAAGTACTGAGTTTCGAAGATTCAGCAGCATATTCTAGTACCAAAATGTCTGAATGAGAAAACGAATCATTTATGTATAATTGTGCAACTAGTTAAAGTTTTAGAACAAATACTCGAATTCTATATTCTTATCGCTCTTCTCTTTCTATCTGTGGTAAATTTTTTTGTGTAATAACTTTAAGTCAAATACAGTGAAAAAATCATAGCTAAAGCTTCATGAAGAAAAACGCCGATCAACTGTACTTTTGTATATTGTTTGTAATTCTCTATAACAAAATCCCTACATTTATATATATTTATAATTTTTGCGTAGTATCAAGATATCTGTTGCAGTTATATCTGAATAACTTTGCATAAAGCAACTGACGAAGAAACTCTTTCATCTTATAGTTTATTCAAGCTATTATTTTACTGATTATTAGGATCCACTGTGCACAGTAAAATCTTAAAAAGACCGTTGCCATTAGTAGTTTCATCTTGAATTACCATTATTTTACTTAATTTGTAGCCTTTTGCAGGATATTACGAACAAAATTAAATTTATAATTTTCAATCTTAATGTGAATCGATAAATAAGTCTCATGGTTCTCATAATATTTTGCAAGTTTCAGTTAAAATGAATACTTTCTTTTAAATACGAGAGGATTTTAAAATGTTTGGTTTCTAACAAAATATTCAAACATTTCCAGCGTTCTTGAGCATACAATGTTTTGAAAAAAAACCATCCTGGGTGTGACTGTGGGGTGTGAGCGTTGGTAGATGTGAGTGGTAATGTTCTCATTTCATTGACACCCACACCCTTCATGTGATTGAAATGTACATGAGATAGAATAAAGAAAAACACACTCATAAAACAAACGTTTTCAAAATTTACATATGTACATGTTGATTTAATAGAAGAAAACTATACACGTTCACGCTCAAAACTTGAATTTCTTCGTATTTACATGACCAATTTTTCTTACACGTGCTTAAAACCTCAGACAAAGCTACATTCTAGCATTGAGACTAATTTGTGAAAAATATGATCTATTTGGGCCTTACCAAGACGTCTACTCACACAAATACTTACGCTCATACTCATATAAACACGCACGCCCACACGCAAATGAAATTTCTTTTTTTTTACGTCTTTATCTACCATCATATTGCTACGAATATTGGTTTTACTTTCTTTTTTACAGAAAGAAAAAAAAACAATCATTTTTACTAAGTATGTCAACAACAGATACGAGCACAATTACTCACAACGAATGAAGTAAAGTTATTTTATAAAAAGAAAATACCAAAAGCATGAAGTGATATTCTGTCATTTTTTCGCGTACGAAAATTTGTTTCTGATTAATAGTACACAACGATAGAAGATATGGATGTAAAAAGAGTTTCATCACGAATGACTCACATACGAACTAAACCTATTGCGTCAGGAAGAAACCAATCCAAGGAGTTGGGTATACGCATTTCGATACTTACTACTATAATAAAGAAGAATGGGTAAATCAATGGATTCTAAAATCTCAAGATTTCTGTAAGTGATTTCTTTACTTCTTTTTTCATATTCATTGGATATTATGTAGATTTATCCGGAACTTTGGTAGATGATAGTAAAACTGAAAACAATTCAGTGACTAAAGCGAATGTGAATCTAACCGACAAAGAGATATGTTCGGATCATGATAAAATTGATGATTATCCTGATGGTAACTACCTGTTTTTTATTCTTGTTTACACGAATAATCGATAATTCCATTTTTTCACGTGTATTAAGTAATAATCTACATATTTCATTCGATCGAAAATTAACAATTTTATTTAAGTAGAACTTAAAAAAAAGAATATCTATCGATAAAATTATTTTTGATGAAAGATGTGGAGATGAAAGATCAGTAGATTAGATACCGACAGACAACCGAAGTATATCTTCATAGATAGAGTATTACTGGACTACAGTTTAACTAGAAAAACTATTGAAAGTGTTGAAATTTGAAAAAATCTCAATCGCTTGACTTATTTTTCATGGTGTTAAGCATTCTGAATTAAATATCTTTTCAATTTTTTTTTGGGTTCCCTATGCCGGAGATCACTATCCATTAGTTTTACCGGTGAGATTTGAATTTTGTTCAATAATTAGAATATCGCTTTGGCAAATGCCGGTTATCACTAGTGATCTATTAGGACATGAAAAAACATTAGCCTTTGGACAACGAAAATCTTGAAATTTTTATTTTTTATGATAGAGGATGAATATCATAAGTATATTCGGAAAATAGTCAAAGATGAATCTTGCAAAGATCCATCAATATATGGCACAGGATTTCATCATTCGCATTACGATTTCAATCAACATGTAAGTTCCATCAACATTTTTTTTTTCTTCATTAGTAAATTAATGTTCTCTAGAAAAAAAATGGAAACCGATCAAATTACAACACATGAAGTTGAATCGGTGACTGAGAATACTTCTGTCTCCAATAGAACGTAAGCTCGAACACAGTGACTTGTCGTTGTCTTTTCGTAAAAGAAGAAGTATGACTCGATTAGATCGAATGGATCTCAATACCGAAATCTGACTATACAATTTAAAATAATAAAAGACGATCAGCGACTGCCTTTCTCTGACTGTTTTGCAGAAGAAATCACTCTTTTCAATCAAAACTTATAGGGAATTACTGAAGTTCGCTAAACATGAGTAAATCACAACTAGTAGTTGTGTTCGAATTTCAAAAATAATAAGTGCGATTAGATAGGTTTGTTTGTCTAGAAGAATGCTTATACAGAACATGTGATATGCATTTCATTCGTGTCTTGAGATCAAAATCTTACTGTTACATATATTTAATTTTATTTTTGAATTGATAATACGATGTTGACATTTGCAAATCAGACCGATCAATTGTAAAATTGTAGGGTAGTGAATTTATCCTTATCTTTATTCAAAATGTCTTGATTTTTTTTGTCTTGCCATCATCTTCAATTATTCACTTAACTAAGAAAATTTCGATCAACTAGTTTGAATTCTAGAACAATTCAAATACTGACACGTGAATGTAGTGTCTGTTTGTTAGTACAACCTGAACAAGAGTTTTCTCCTGCTTACAGTAGAAGATGTCGACATTACTTTCGTCAAATTTGTAATCTGTGCACCTATACGAGCATCAAAGTTATTCTCGATGACATCATCAGTAATCCAGTTTCCTGTCCTGAACCAAACTGTTTGGTAAAGTTGAATTCAGACGAAATTCCTCGAGCGCTTGTCATAAATAATGATTATGTGTTATTGCAAAAATACAACATTTACCTAAACAGACAATTTCTCGATGGTCTAGATAACTTTTATTGGTGTGCACATGGATGTGGCTCTGGTCAAATCGATGATAGAAAACCGGTTCAAAACTTAAAAATTACTTGCATCCTGTGTAGAAAAGATACATGTGCATTTCATCGTGTTGAGTGGCATGAAGATATGACCTGTGGTCAATATGATAAACTCCATCCATCCACTGATCCTATGACAAACAAATGGATGAACAAAAATTCGAAAAAATGTCCCGAATGTCAGTGTAAAATTGAGAAGAATGGTGGTTGCTTTCATATGATCTGTAGAGAATGTCGCCATCAATTCTGTTGGGATTGTCTGGCTAACTACGTGTTGTATAAATCTAGAGCGCGTCTACAACACAAAATCAGTTGTAAACATCATCCTATGGGGTTTTTATTTCCACGAATTCGTTTATCGAGACATGAAAAATCATAGACGGAAACAGTCTTCTCAATCAAAGACAACAATCACTAAATGTATCTTTTTTAATAATAAACTCGTTTTTTTTCAATGCGTTTCGAATATCGAAAGCCATAGAGTTCATGTAATTCTAATACATGTATTAGAATTTTTAAAAAAATACATATTTAATGCTAATAGCTTGACATTAATTACTTCTAATGCGGTATCCCTCATTTTTACGAAAGTGAATACTTTTGGTAAAAATGAATTCGATATAATTGAACTTAATTTCAACATTAATAGAGACCATTGTTTATATTAAAGAATATTTATCAAATAGAAGTACAAAATTTTTGCATTGAGAGAAGCATTTAAAGTAATGTGCTCTTTTCATTTTATAAGTTTTATTTTTTGGACTAAACTAGACAATAATAGAGTTTCTGAATTTGACGACTAGCTATGGGTTATTGAAGATAAAAACTGAATGATTACACTTAATTTAAACTTGTTAAAGTCTGACTTATGAGTATTATTTTAATTTGAGAGGAAATATAAAAGACAATAACAAGCGATTGTAAAACCAAAAGCTAAAAAAAAAATAAACGCAGTCTCTGTGAAGGTCAAATTCATGACTTGCACGATATTAGCATGACGCTCTAACTGGTATAGTTAAGCGGCAGCATTTGTTTCTATTTTCACATTGGTTATCAATGTTTACACTAGGCAAAGATTCATAAAGAATAATTTTTCGTAAAATTATACAAAATTTTCAATATTTTTATTTATATATATACAAATCACTTTTTTAAAACAAAAAAATATTCACAAAATTAAAATGGAAAGGCTGTAAAATCACTATCTGACACAAAAATTATATACATTAAAAAGATACAATGGGTTTTCATATATATATATATGACAATGTATCTAACAATTGACAATCCATTGCCATGCTTCCTTTAGAATAATATATTTAACAGCTTCAAAAACATCAAGTTTAATTGTTGTTGGTACTTTCCATGGATTT